AAAATTAATAAACAACTCTCGAGGAAATGAATTGATAAGTACAAAATTTTTACCAATTTTAAATAATAACAAAATAAGAAATTTTGATAAATGGCTTAAAATTAGACAAGAATTTAGTTTCTATCAAAATAAAAAACGTAACAAATCATGGATAATTCAAAATGAACAAAAAACGCCACTTATGTCAACCAAAACAACTGAATCGCAAACTACAGATTGGATTGATATAAAACCTACGACTTCTGAATTAAAACCAAAGTCTGATGCGACACTTGTGTCCCCTGAAAGTGATGATGAAGATTTTAAATCAAACAAAATTTCTAATTCTGTTAACGTTCAACAAAAGTTTAAGTCTGATGTATCACATCCAAAAGAGATAGAGTTCATGGACTTACCTACCGAGAGTGATGGAGGAGATTTTAAATCAACTGAAACACGAAATTTATTGAACTTTAAACGAAAAATAAGAGATACTTCGTTTTCAGACGAAAAAAAAAATATCAAAAAACTGGCAGTACCAAAAATAAAGCTTAGTGATCAACAACGCAAATTGAGAGTTAAGCTAAAAAAAATTAAAGCGGTTTCATTACCATTTCAAGATTAAAAATAAATAACAGGACGAGAAAAGTTGTCTAGATGGTTCGAACTAAGCCGGTGCAAATAGGGAAAAACAAAAAGACTTGGATTTCTTATCAATAATAGAAATTTCAATATAAAGATGTGTTATTCAAATAAGTTGTTTGTCACATTGCTTAGTAATGATTCAATGAATGTATTTCCTGATAATGTAAAATGTGCATTTACAAATATTGTTAATATACCACAAGACATGAATGAATACTGGGAGGTAGGCATTACGGACATATATCTGAATAATTACATTTACAAAACAACTACTAAAGAAAGAAATATAGTTGAAGAACTGAATTTGTTAGCTTAGTAAATGCTGAAACATTTAGGTATTCAAATTTTCCTGCTGAATCTAAAATACCTGAAAATGGATTGATTTTTATTTATACTGACATAATCAAACCAAGGTCTGTAGGTTGTAAAAGACCTCGATGTCTTCGTTAAATGCATTATAATGGAAAAGAAAGAAATATTTAATTTAAAAATATTGAATATTATCCTGTAGATATATGGTCTCCAAATGAAATTTTATTACTAATTACTGATTCAAATGGATATAAGGTTCCTTTTGAAACTTCAGTTGTTCCGATTTTCGTAACTCTGCACTTTAGAAAAAAAAGAAGGTTAAGCCTATAAATAATACATACCCCAATGATGTTTAATTAGAACAAGATAGTCATCATGGTGAAATCTTATCACTAATATTATGTGAATCAGTGCGGTGCCGGACTAAATAATATTGGCAGTCTGTGTCTCCACGAATTATATAGCAAGGACGAGGAATTGGAAATTTTTTAGCGGTCTTTTTAATTATATAAAACCCCCTTTCCCTTCGGGTATAACTGCTATAAAAAATCAGGCTGCAGAGACTAGTAAGGTAGTAATAAAAGAATTTGGCCGAAAGCCTTTAAGAAATATTATTCAAAAACAGAGCAAGATTGCGTTAACAAATCTCTCAAATAAAGCAATAAATAAAATGACACGCTCTCAAAATGGTAGCGGAAAAAGGAATAACAAGAAAGCAAACTTCGGCAAGCCGAAGTTCAAATACCCTTGCAGCTATTGCAAGAATTGAACATTTTTGAAAACATTAAAATTATGATTTACTTGCGTATATGTTTAAAAACATTAAAGCTATGATGATTTGCAGCTTAATTATTTGATAGTTATTTTATATATTTTTAATATTTCTATGGGAGCTATATGATATAGTCGTCCGATTTTGATAAAATTTAAACCATAATTCTGAAGTATTTAACCATTGCTATATGTCGAAGAACTAAACAAAAAATTAAAAAACAGCAAATTTATAATTTTTTTTCAATTATTTTTCCGATTGTTCCTATGGGAGCTATATGCTATAGTCGTCCGATTTTGATGAAATTTAAATCGTAAATCGGATCCGGGTCGTTCCGACTTATATACTACCTGCAATAGAAAGACAACTTTTGGGACAGTTTCATGCAGATAGCTTTAAAACTGAGAGACTAGTTTGCATATAAACGGACGGACAGACTGACAGACGGACGGACAGACGGACATGGCTAGATCGACTCTACTAGTGATGCTGATCAAGAATATATATACTTTAAAGGGTCGGAAACGTCTCCTTCACTGCGTTGTAAACTTTTGACTGAAATTATAATACCCTCTGCAAGGGTATAAAAAGCACGGGTCGAGAAAAAATCGTTACCATTTAACTTCTAAACGACAAGGTAAACATACCCACCACAATCAAAAAGGAAAAAAAATCTAAGAAATTGAATATTAGTGATATTTTTTCTAAAGTAAAACAAGAAAGAAAGCAAACTTCGGCAAGCCGAAGTTCATATACCCTTGCATCTATTACAAGAATTAAATCATTTTGAAAACATTAAAATTATGATTTACTTGCGTATATGTTAAAAAACATTGAAGCAATGATGACTTTCAGCTCAATTATTAGATAGTTATTTTATATATTTTTATTATTTCTATGGGAGCTAGATATGTAATCTATGTGATATAGTCGTCCGATTTTGATGAAATTTAAACCATAATTCTGAAATATTTAACCATTACTATATGTCCAAGAAATAAAAAAAAATTAAAAAACAGCAAAGTTATAATTTTTTTTTATTTTTTTTTCGATTGTTCCTATGAGAGCTATATGCTGTAGTCGTCCGATCCGGCTCGTTCCGACTAATATACTTCCTGCAATAGAAAGTTTCATGCAGATAGCTTTAAAAGTGAGAAATTAGTTTGCGTAGAAACGGACGGACAGACGGACATCAAGCTAGATCGACTCGCCTAGTGATGCTGATCAAGAATATATATACTTTATAGGGTCGGAGATGTCTCCTTCACTGCGTTGCAAACTTCTGACTGAAATTATAATACCCTCTGCAAGGGTATAATGAGTAACCATATTGAATTATGAAAAGCGAACTAGATTTGTTTACACCACACCCTACGCAAAGTTCTATTCTAAGAACTGAAGAAGTCTCATATAATCCTATTGCATCCTTAGACGGCGCCTCCTCAATTGAATTTGTTTGCTTGGGAAATGGTGAAACATATCGAGACTTATCAAGTGTTTATTTACGGCTTGTGGTGCAACTCAAAAAAAATTATAATAACGTCATTGAAGGAAACGCTGTCGGTATAGTAAACAATATTTTACATTCAATACTTAGAAGTTCCTCAGTTTATTTTAATAACATATTAGTATCGCAGAGTGATAATAATTATCATTATAGAGCTTATTTGCAAACAATTTTAAACTATGGGAGTGATGCATCAGAAAGCCACTTGGCTTCCCAAGGCTATTTCCCGAATTTTGGAAGAACAACAGCAGGAAAATACGTTTATCCAACCACTAATGAAACTCTGAAAAATATTTTCCAAAATAGTAATAAGGTCGAATTATTCGGAAAAGTTCTTGGTGATATTTTTAACCAAAGCAAATTGCTTCTTTATAATGTAGATCTAAGAATTAATTTTAACATTGAAAAAACAGCATTTTATTTAATGGAAAATGAAACTGAATCAAATTTAAAGATACTAGAAGCACAACTCTTTATGAATCATCGATAGATAACGCAGTTATTGGTTAAAAACCGCTCATACTCAGGAAACCGAGGCTTTGATCCATTTCATTTTGAACATTTTAAAATGCAACGCTTTAACCTAATGTTTAACGGAGTTCAAGTTCCTTCCCAGGCCTTAGAATTTGATTACTCGAACGCTGAAAATGGTCAAAGCTCTAGAAGTTATAATATGCTTTTCAGATCGAGTGGAATAAAGCATTATAATTGTGGTCTACAAATAACCAAGGAAATGTTTGATAGTAACAGTTTCATATTAGCCTTTGACCTAACTACTGATCATTCAAATTCCACTGTATGCTCAAATTTGATGTCACAAGGCACTATACGAATCGAGGGAAGAACCCCTAAGTGAAGCAGTTACTTGTCTGGTATACTGTGAATATGATTCCATGATTGTTATTGATAAACATAGAAATATTCGGACGCTTTTTTAAAATGAATACTTTACAAATTCAACAATTGCTTTCCAAACATGCCAAAACACAATCAATTTTAAAGAAGTTTTTCCTTCGGACCAGCTACCCAAAACCATTTTTAAATATCCTGCTCTAATTATTGCGAACACCGACACTTCAGAACAGCCCGGAACTCATTGGATTGCAGTTTATTTTAATAGTTGCAGATCGGCAGAATTTTTCGATTCATAATACCAATACCCCCAGAAAAAAGAATTCGTAACATTTTTAAGATCAAACGCTTATAAATACTTTTGTAATAAGCAACAACTACAGGGATATTTTTCGAATACCTGCGGTCATTATTGCATGCTGTATGGCCTTTTTAAAAGTAAAAACAAATCACTTAAAAATTTCTTAAAATATTTCGAGAAAAATGACTTCTCTTACAATGACAAAATAATACTTAAAATGTTTAAGTCCAATTTTAAAAAATAAAATTCGAGTTTTTAAAAGATAAATAATTTAGTTTATTAAATGCTTCAATACGGTACAATCGGCTTAACTTAAAATATCTAAGCATAATAAGACTAAGGGCTTCTTTTTTAATACAGGCATATATATATATATATATATTATATAAGTAATTCCGTTCTCATTTAATTTCCTATAAGGTGTCTTCGTAGGGGAGGGTGGCCCCATACCGACCCCCTAAATGGCAAAGGCGATAAAGGTGAGAAAAATCAATTTTTCTGTTCAGTTCAAAAATTTACTTTGTAGAGGGATCAGTCGACTATACACTTATCGATTAGTAAGGTACGTTGGTTGTTTTGAAGTGTTAGATATTCAGGCAAATATGAAACTCCACTTTTTGGACGTACTCAAAAATAGTGGTCCGAAACCGACCTCCACATGGTCCGAAACCGACCCCCCTATTTCTCAGCAGAAAATTGCAATAAAAAGTATGATTTCGAATTTTCATTGTAAGGTGCAAGAAAAATTCAATAACATAAAATAGAATTTAATGATTTTGACGTTTATTAAGAAACATTTTGAAGGTTGTTTCCAGAAAATAAAAATTAATATATGAAATAAAGGGCACTGTAGTCAATTGCTAAAGTCTGAGCTGTCCTCAAAGTAAGTTCGAATGGTCTTCACTCGCGTTGTTTTTCGAAAGCCGCTCGTTGATGACTGTGGTTCCATTTGTCTTTTCGCTTTCTTCTGATGTTTTTGCTGTTTCTGTTGACTTTTCTTTACTGAATCTTGTTTTCTTTTTCTCTTTTCTTGTTTTTCTTGATTTTTCTTTTCTTGTTGCTTTTTTTCGCATTTCGCATTTTCTCTTGTTCGGCGATTTGTTCTATTTCAGAGTCGGCTGTTAGAATCGCAGTTCGGCCTGGCTGTCGACCTCGTCTCTTTCCAATAATATAATATATATAATAATATTTGCATTATTTCTGCGATGCAGCAATAATGTTGATCGAGGAATTGCGAATTTACGCGCAGCTGCGCGAAGCGACAGTCCCAATTTCATTGCTGCAACTGCTTGACGTAGAATCTCCGGATCCCTTTTTAATGTTTTACGCTTAAATGTCCGTCCCATTTCTAAATAAACATGTGCAAAATCCGTGAAATAATTTTGTATCACTTTAAATTACATATTTTACCTCAAAAACATGCTATGACAAATTACGCTGCCAATAAATGGGGGTCGGTTTCGGACCATCACTTCGCGGTCGGTTTCGGACCACCACGACCTTTTTTAATTAATTGCTCGCCATTATCTAATGACGCAAGGAGCGATGTAACTCTAATAGCGTGAATGAAAGCTAGGACTATCAACAATCAAAATAACTTACCCTCCGATTTTTATGCAGAAAAAAAACACTTTCAGCTCAAGTTCAGTGAAGCTCAAAAATGAATGTCACAGGCGTTGAAACAAAACAATCGGGAAAATTGAAGCGAAACAAAAGAAGTCAAAATGGCTATCTATCTCCAAAATGTCTGTGTTATAACAGCTTTTCACCGACGTTACCGACAATTCGGCTAGCATCGCCATCTCTGAGAAACATGGGGGGGTCGGTATGGTACGACCGGTCGGTATGGGACCACTCTCCCCTGCAAAATTTGTTTACTTAACTTTTAGGTAAAAATATCCAAACATCTTTGACGTCCTTGTCTGTTAAATAAAGAGCTACTTTGGTTCCATATGGTGTCTTTTTTAACTTGTATCCAGTGATCTTATACTCGAATCCAATACAAAGATTTTCAATTTTTGTATAACCAATCACGGACTTCATTTCGTTCAATGACTCTAAGAAGTCCTAAGAAATCAACAAAAATGACTTTATGATTTATTTATCGTCAATATATATGCATACCATTTTTGAATAGCGCTAGTTTTGATTCGATGTGCTCTGGTACCTAACAGTTGTGTACTAATTGATTTACATAAGATTACTTGGTCTTTTATACTATCCAGAACATGAAAAATAAAACGATTTTTTTTTCTCTTTTATACATACATATATACACAAACACAATAAAACTAAAACACATAACTATGCTATATTTTCATACATACTTTATTATGGCTATCTCTATCTTTAAGAAATAGTTACAAAAAATGTACCTATGTCTTTTTATAAGAAAACATATACGAAACATAGTTCAAACTATGTAATACTTTCATGTTTACATTATTATATCTATCTCTTTTTTAAATAAGTAAATAGTTACAAAAAATGTACCCTATATAAGACAACATTTTTAATGTAAACTCAGTTAATATTTTTTAAATTAAAATGAGGAAGTTCCTTTGTGAGTTGTGTCCAGAAACAAAATCGTTTACTACACGCATAGGCCTCAAAAATCATATCTTAAAATTACATAACTTTAACTATCAAAAATCAAGATCGTCATATTATTGCTGTTATTTTTGTCCAAAAGTACAAACATTCTGGTTGCGATATGATTATAACGCTCATCTCCTATTGAAGCATGATGCAGTCTTAAAAAGCATTCGCAAGGCACAAGAAAATTATCAAATAAAAAAAAAACAATTTTAACAACAGCATTTTTGTAAAAGGATTTTTATTTATTATAATTTTTTTTCAACATGGAAAATTACAATCCTAGATCAAATAAAACGTCTAGTAGGTTGTGATCTTCGTCGTCATCCATCATTTTTAAATATTCGTTCTGGGGGTTGGACCCGATGATCTGATCAAAGATGTGATCATCATCAGGAAACGTATCGCCTTGAGAGTTTGAGAAAGCTTCAACCAATTCGAATCTCTGTCCACATTGAAATTGATCATCGTCTTCATCGTCCCGTATTAGTTGGTTCAAAACTTCTTGAGTGGTCCTCCCCAATGAAAAATCGCTCCACTCAAGGGAGCCATAGTCAGCTCCAATAGGCTCCGTTTGGGTTGACACTGTAGCAGGCGCAAACACGCCTCGTAGAATCAGCTCAACCGCATCCTGAGAGTCGGAAGCATCCAGAGGCTCCTGATCTGTGTTTTCAATAATAATTATATACGAGTCTTGGGTAGGGGGTACTTCCACCTCGTCCTCGGAGTCGATGAATTGCACAGTTACATCCATTGGTATGCAGTGCTGAGGCATTTGAAGTACTGATCCTGAGCAATTTGAGTGGTGTTATTTTTATAGTCTCGAATTTTCACTTAACAGTTTGACATATACAGGGAGTGCATACAGGTATGTTTTACTCCTAGAACCAATCCGATTGGTTCTTGAATATATAAACGCGCCCAGACACCTGTCTAATGGATATCAGAGGTCAAATCAATACAAGGATGGATAACAAGTTATCGGGTGGTGAACGTGGTGTAGGAGGGTTCAGGTTGTAGCTAAATATTGATGGTGTATCAAGTCCTTAGGTTCGGGTCAACATAAGCTTAAGATGTTGCATTGCAACCATGGACATTTCCCAAAGCCTTAAGCTGAGAGTAGCTGGAATATACGGGAGTAATGGGGTTTTAACGGTTTTATATAATTAGGTGCATTTTTTCCAAATGCATTCACTTACAAATTCCATAATCAGTGCACATGATATCCGATGGAACCCCCTCGTATTATTTGGTTTCTTAATATTCTCGTCAAATGTTCGGACCGATCCTTATCGTTTGAGAAAATGTACGACAAAGTGAACCCGCATACCCACGAACTCTAATCTCAACCCCCATCCACTTGTGCGTCCACACGACTGCTTGTGCGCGAAGGTGTGAAAGTGAGAAAGGGTAGTTTTGATAAAAAAGAGCAATTTTAAATTAAGAATCGTGAAAAGTATACCATTGGAAAGGCCTTGAAAAATGCTTTCGAATGATACCAAATTACGGGAGCAGCGAACCCGGCTTATCCTAGACAAGCACCATGGGCTTGGGGTGTCTTAGCTAACCGCAGCTCCTGACGACCGCCGCTACCCGACCGCCGGTTAAGTAAGTCCCCACTACTACCCCAAAAACAGAGGAAAACCGAAAAAATTATATGCACCCACAAAAAAAAAAAAAAAAAATGGTATACTTTTCACGATTCTTAATTAAAAATTGCTCTTTTTTATCAAAGCTATCAAAATTATAATTTCACACCTTCGCGCACAAGCAGTCGTGAGGACGCACAAGTGGATGGGGGTTGAGATTAGAGTTCGTGGGTATCCGGGTTCACTTTCTCGTACCCTTTCTCACTTTCACACCTTCGCGCACAAGCAGTCGTGAGGACGCACAAGTGGATGGTGGTTGAGATTAGAGCTCGTGGGTATGCGGGTTCACTTTCTCGTACATTTTCTCAAACGATAAGGATCGGTCCGAACATTTGACGAGAATATTAAGAAACCAAATAATACGAGGGGGTTCCATCGGATAACATGTGCACTGATTATGAAATTTGTATGTGAATGCATTTGGAAAAAATTCACCTAATTATATAAAACAGTTAAAACCCCATTGCTCCCGTATATTCCAGCTACTACTGATAATGTAATTTGATTCGTTCTGGATGTTTAGTCTAAGGCTTGGGAACATTTGCAATTAGATATTGGCTGATTGGGGTACTTAGGGTGTATGTGTGTGTGGGTGTGTGTACATGTGCATAAGAGCTATGTGGGATTATGAATATGTCACTCCCCCATTCTTCGAATTTGGCCTTTCCTCAGGTGGATAGGGTTGGATATTACATTACATTTTCTTCTATGTTAATTTGGTTGGTAGATCGTTTAAAGTTTGTGTACTTTTTTGTGTTTCTTCCTCTGATTTTACATATTTTACAATAAGTTTAAGTACAATAAAATGCTAATAATAATGATTGAAAAAGTTGTTAAAGTGTTTATTTGGAATTCATTATATTATTTTGTGTGTGATTCTATTATTTCTTTTGTTTGAATATAAAATGATGGTTCTAACTTTGTTACATTATTATTTACGTAAACGCTTTGTGTGTAATCTAACATTGTATTTGAAATAGTGAATTCCTCTAATTGTACTGAACAATTAAGGTTATTTTCAACTATAGAAATTTCTTTAATAATACCATTTTGATTTAATAATGTTTTAGGGATATTCCAGTTCAATAATATATTTGGTTCAACATAATTAATTTGGACGTTTTTATATGTTTTGGTATATTTGCATTCAGTATTTTCTTGCTTAAGTATTCCATTTATACATTCGTCAAATACAATTTTTTCTTTTTCTTTGTTAAATACTTTATTGTCATATAAGAAATATTTATCGAACATATTTTCTATTAAAAATTATTATTTTAATTTTCAAATTATTCCTTAAATTTCAAAAACGGGAGATTTAACGATCTCTTAAAGAATTTGGGAAAGAATCAAAATTTCATTTGTGTCTGTTTTAAGCCAAGCGGAGGTTTTGATTTTCAACAATTTGTCAGGGTTCGCGTTCTTCAAATAATCATGTTTTAATAATTTTGGATTGAATAAACCTAATCTTGTCAGCTGCATCCATAATTTGATTTCTTCTACATATTCTGTAAAGTGTTGTAAATTAAATATTAAAACGCTGACTTGTTGTTCCCTTTCTCCGTCTGCCTTTAATTTATTGATTACCTCAATTCCATTATTTATTACATCGATAACCATGTTTGAATCTGTGTTCTGAACACTAGTGTCTACTAGATTATTAATTTTTTCTACCATCTCATCTTTATCATCTTGGTCTAATGTTCCGAATAGGTATTTATAAACTGATCATATAATATTGAATAAACCTCTCTTACTGCGTTTTGCTAAAGTAATTCCACTGATTTATCTTTTAAGTTTTTCTACTAGATATCGGATTTGAATTACGTCACTAAATTCATTATCTTCTTTCAAAAGACTTTCGAAGTTTAGTTCACTTTTTGTTATGCTTACACTCAGATAATGATATTAATAGTTAATAGGGATATCTATTGATCCTGTTTTAAATACAAGATACCCGATTTGGGCCCTAATGAAATTTATTTCGATGCTCTGACCGATTGTTAGTGAAATTTTAGTTGTTACTATTATGGAGAAAATCATTGTTTTCATTGAGTTGTTGAGTCCGTCTATTTTCTTCTGCTTGCCTGGAATTATCATCATATTTACTTTTATTAATTTTCTTCTTCTAATTTTCTAATCTTTCTTAAGGTTCCTGTCTTCTTAAATGGATTAGTAGTTTTGGACTTTACTAAAGGTGATTGTCGATATTTTCAAATTCATGAAGTTTTTCATTTAATTTTTCAATTCTACTTATTTTATTTTCTTGTGTGTCATAATCAGGAGTTCGTGCATACATAAATATGTTGGCTGGTACTTGATTTGTAGTATTATGTTTTGTTTTATGATTATAAATGTACAAAATTAATTCAAATTTGATATACCTATTTTCAATGTCTGGTTCACTTCCTATAATTCTCAATTTCTTATTAACCATTTTATAAAATCTTTCTATGACTGATACACCGATTTTACTTGTAGTTATTTGAATTTGTACTCCTTCTGAATTTATCTGCTTTGATTTCCTATGGTTTTCCGATTTTGTCACTTTGGTATTTCTATGTTCCGTTTTAGCAATTTTGCAAGTTTCACATTCATTTATTATATTCTGAATTAATTTTTGATAGTCAGGGAAATAATATTTTTCTCTAAACCATTTAATAGTTTTTTTCGATTTC